CACACACACACACACCTGTCCAGGAGAGTCAGATTCTGCCCTAATGGCACCATGGGGACCCAAGACATTAGCATATTAAAAGGTGACATTTCACAGTCTGAGCCTTGCAGTAGAGTGCAGCCCAATCACTCTGACAGTCTGACAGCCACACAGGCAGGCCGGAGAACAGACACATCAGATTGTGAAGTGCAACACAATGGGAAAATGGCAAAGTGGCTGGATTTGAGTCAGGAAACACCTGTCCAGCCAAAGACCAATGTTGTGCCAAGTGTGTCCTGACACTAGATGGAACTTTACACATGACCTCACCAACAGTGTGGTCTAATGGGTCATGCCTAATAATTTACTCAAAGTAAATTGGCACAGAGGCTTTGAATTATAATCGAGGCCCCAGAGCTGCTTTATATCAGAAGACAATAAAGAAATCAATGCACTCCCTGTACATAACCACCAAGAAATGATTAAACAAAAACAATACTGCATGTTTACAGTATATCAATGAGATTTTTAAATCTCTGACCATTTGAAATACAGATTTTTTTCTGTGTTACATGGGGATGACAAACAGTAAAAACACACACATACAAGCATACAATACAACAATGTACACCAACAAAACCTAAAACAAGCACAGACAGGCAGACAAACATACAGTGAATTGTGCACGTAATCCAAAACTGAAATCACCTGATTCACTAAATTAAAAGAAATCTAACTGCTGCATTCAGTTCGAAGGACTTGAACACATGAAAAAATGGGGATTGATTATGATTTTCTGTCATCCACTCCCAAACTTACAAGAAAAAAATCAAAATTGTGTCTTCGAAAAGGACTCAGTTGCCCCTGGCTTCCATATAATTCAATCCCTACTGCCACATACATGAACACACACCTGCTGGCACACACACACAAACACACACACGCCAGGGGCCAGCAGTTGAGAGAAGTGTGACAATGGCTGAGTTCAGTAATTGGCTCTGAACTGCAGCTTCAGCAAAAGCCTTGGTCCTGTTGGAAACCTGTCAGTGTTTGGCATCTGTTACTATCATTTTCCTCAGCAGGACAGCCCAATGTGAAACACCTGGGTTGGGACATTATGCTGCTACCTTCCCCTCTGCTGTCACTTGTTATAGTTCCAGCAGCTACTTCTGCTACAACTAATAATACTTCTGTCAGTGCTGAGGCGACAGAAATGACCTGTCTTTCCCTCATGAAAATATTAGACTGCATGTGTAGCCGAATAAGAGATAGAAAGAGAGCGACTTCCAGACCAAGACAGCAATGACTGAAAAAAAGTCAGGGAGACACTGACACAGCAAGAGGCTGATTAATACCGACTGTTTATCAAAAAGCAATATCCGATCACGAAAAGCATTTCATCTAAAGTCTAATGATGATGCTGCTGCAGAAGTGATGCAAAACAGAGGGATTTTCCATTTGCAGATAACCTGTGCTGTGAGCAAACCCACACACATCCTGCTTTCCAGCTCATAAGCAAACAATTACAGTAGGAGCTCCTCTCAGCGTGTGTCCTGTGAAAGACAATTTTCAGGTTGTGCCATCTTGTTGTCCTTTATCTTCCTGCTCTCTTTGCTTTCTTTACAACTATTCCATTAACACAAGGGCCAATTTTGCAGTATGCCAATATTGAGCAGGCACTGAATGGAGCTGCCCAGCAGGAGCCCAGGGACATAATAAGAAAAAACATCCCTACTGTATCCAAAACAGGCTGTGCAGATAACCGCAAAATTATAAATAGGAATGTTTCACCCAGAAGATTTTGAAGTGTTTTGGAGTGAGGGTATAGTAATTATAGTTGCAGAAACCTGCTTTATTGTTGTGTTACCCCAACATCTCTTGGAGGCTCTGACTCCTGGCAGGGGAGCCAAACAGCTGACTCCTTCAGTTCAACATTTGAAAAGGATGAAAATCAGCCGCTTCAAAGCCCCACTGTCACTAACTCAGCCAGCGATTCCACGCTTTCTAAAGGCTTATTATGATATAACTCACTCATATTCAAACATTTTTGCGAGATCAGCCATTGATTTATGTAGAATTTTAAAATGTACTGAAGCATTCCTCTCTTAATAATTTGGATTTTTGAAATGCTAGCTGGCAGTCAGCCCATATTCTATGTGTCAAAGAGGTGGCTCTTTCAGGGACATCACTACTCAGTCACAGTCCAACTAGTTACCAACTACTAACTTAGTGTTGCTTTGGTCGACCTGGCTGCTGCATATTCAGATTTTGGGGAGAGCGAGAGAAACGATGTTTAACAGAGATCCCCAGTCAGACAGGGACAATGTGGTTATTGAAGACTAGACAAATAATTTCTCACATATAGATACCCAGGTCAACTAGTTACAACATAAAGGCCCCTTTGAAAATGACTTTTTCCCTAGTAAAAAAAGTAAAAAAAACCCAACAGAAATTGTCTTCAGAAGAGGGAAAAAAGGGTTAGCGGAAATCTTCAGTGAAGTCAGTGAAAGGACTGGAAGCTGTAAACGTACCTTCATTAGTACTGACTCACTGAGCTTCTCACGGTTGACAATCTTTATGGCGACTTTCTGGCATGTTACACAGTGGACTCCGAGCTTGACCAACCCTGCAAAAATAAACAGAAAAAACACACTTTATTAGGACAAATGGGTCACTTCTTCTTGCAGTAGAGATTAATAGCGGGACACATCATGTTCAGAAGACACAGAGAAAGCAACTGATACACAAGCTGTACTGAATGTACAGTGCATAATGTGTTTCTAGTGAGCACATTGTGTCGAATTAAAGTTATGTGTGAAGAAAAAAGTGTTTTTTGTGCATTGACCAGACTGATAAAATTGCTTGTGACCTCATGTACAGAATGCTGATAATGACTTCTGAAGTGTAGATTGTTCCTTAAATAAACTGCCCTCTGGGGTTTATTTGAGTCATAAAGGCAGTAAGTGAGTGGGCCATTTGTGTTATTGATTCCTATAATGTACTAAACTGCTGTGATGCAGTTGTGTTGAGTTAGCTCAGACAATAAAAGGTAGCAGTAAGACACAGGAGCATTACAAAGCCAAAGGTCAGTTGTTGATTGGGACACATTATCGACCAGGGCTCAAAAATGATAAGAATGAAGCACACCAAACTGCAGGAGGGTAAATAAGCATAGCACATTTCAACAACCTAGCAGAAAACATTACCCTTTACTTCATACAACAAACACACTGATGCATGAGGAGAGATTTAAGTGTTTGATACCAGTCAGTTCCATTGGGATTCACACACACTGACATTAGTGCTGAAATGAAAACCCACACATTATAAATCCTGTGATTTGCTACAGAACCACAAAAGCATCTCCCCTGCTTTGCCACAGTTTATGTCCCCAGGTGTCCTTAGTTAAACGATCAGCCACAAACAATGCAGAAAAACAAGCAGGGATACCCCAATGAGTGTACAGTTACAGTGGAACAAAGTGGAGTGTTTGTGTCTATTCGATACAGCCAAGCCATGACGACAGCACCAATCCATTTTCTGCCAGGGACCACAAAGCTGCACACACATTAGAAAGATGTTTGCATCAGATAGATCACTTACAAACTGAAACAAACGCACACCCATACACAAACAAATGTTGTCTCGCTATTATTGATTTTCCCGATGGCCCCATGATGCTGCTGGGATTTGGAGACAACAGAAGATGATTTGTAACTTTGTAAACTACAGCATTGAGCTCTCTAACGGGCTGGCACACAGAATTTACAGAAACATCAAAATGGAATAATGTGAAGGCTTTTATTTCTTGCCACTCTTGTCCTGGCAGAGATGAAGATAGTGGAATTAAGTTAATAAGTGTTACTATAATGTACCTCAGACAGAAATTGTGCAGTTACTATAAGAAGCACGTCTATCGAGAGAAGAAATGTCCTGCATAAAACTGGCTGGGTGACATGCACCAGACTTATGTGGGCTTCTGGCTCACTCTCCCACTGTCTCTCACACAGTTTGATTTTCTATATAAACCAGCAGAAGGGGAGAGTCAATGGGCTTTGAGGAGGCGGTGAAACTTAGGAAAGCAGAAACAAGTCTTCTGATGCCACAGAAACGTCAAGAAGGCAAGAACGAGATGGAGGAGGGGAAGCAACAGTGGGAGACAGAAAAGGAGAAAGGAAGAAGAAGTAAATAGAAAAGAACGTGAAAGATGAAGGGAAAAAGTGAAAATGATCAAGAATCAGGGATAGCACATTATTCAAATGACAGACCACAGATAATTAAGCAATAATGGAGAGCAGTGTGTGGGAGTGAGGCACAGGCTTGGGAGTTAAGGGACCGCGGGGGCCGAGAGTGGAGAAACACAGAGGAGAGGAGGCGAAAGAGAGAGAAAGAGAGAGGGAGACAAAGACAGAATGATGGAGAGCATAGAGGACAGAGATAGGAAGGAAGCAAATGCTAAAAAGAGGAAGATAAAAGATTTAGATTTAGGAAAGGCAGTTGAGCAGGAGGGGGAACCACAGACAAAGCCATTAGCCCTGTGATGGTAATCATATGTTAATGGCTGCTATAGAAGAGCTCATAAGTCATGATAAACACATTAAAGAGAAAATATCTGCCTGCAAACACGTGAAAAGTTAACTGGATTATTTGTCTCGCTATCCATCTTCCTCCAATGCCTCTGTTTTTGTGAGCAGAGGGCGCATTAGCAAGAGGGAAATGTGCACAGGAAGACAGCACATTATGATTTTACAACCACTTTGTGTACGGATTGAAATGAACTCTCACAAGGAAGTTCAGTACATAATACAAAATGACATAAGACATAAGCTTCTTTTCTACCACATGCACACAAATCGTATGGTCATGGCAAAATACATTCAACTTACAAGCTTAAAATCACAAAATGTGCAAGCAACACATTAAAGTGGCCCACATTATTGATTATTTGTCTTTTTGTGGATAAATTATCATCATTTTGTTGTCATGTTTAGTCACCTATAGTGAACCAATAGCAAGCAAGTTGTGTCTAGGAGAGGCTTAAAAAAAGAAAATACGGAAATGATATTTCTCACCAAGCCACCTGAGAAATATCAGGCCAGAAGAGTGTTAATATTCTCTAACATGATTCCTTGTTGTAATATGTTGTAATATCTAATTAACCTCTACCTCTCCATGATCTAAAATCAACCCCTCTTTCCCTCCTTCTAATGTCCTGTGATGAGGTGATTTCCTGATACTCCCCCACCTTTCGCCTGTCTGTGACAACACCGCAGAAGAAACCCTCTCAGCACAGGGGGAACACTGGGGTTTTCGTCTGGATCTGGCTGGGCTGAGCAGGTAGGCTGTCTTTGAAAATAGCTTCAAACATAGGGCTTTGACTGAGAGCACAAAAGATCAGAGCTTCACGGGGGGAATACAGAGAAGATTACAGCTACAGTTGCCAGTGAATGTGCATGATTGTGTGTGTGAACATATGGATTACATTTCATATTAGGTTAATCCTATGTAGTTGCATTGACTATGAGACTATAAGTTATTCTTGCAAGTTCTGGTATCTTTGTAAGTATAAAGCTGATGTTTATGAGTGTTTGCATTCTCCCTCTGGGAAAAAGGTAAGCACTGTGTTGATTAAGTGTCGCATATATGTAATTTATTAACTGCACCAGGGAGACACATGCAGACTGGTATTGTCACATACTGTACACTTACATACTTTCATTAACACACAAGCGGACAAAAGCAGGCTGTACAGCTGACCGGAGTTTGCTACGCCAGTGAATCAGCAAGTGCATCGATCTCTCCTTCGCCCTCCTCCCAAATCAATAGCATCAAAAGCTCTCACCTTCACAACAATGTCAGAATAATGACACCAGCCAGGGACTTATGGTCTGGAGAGGCCACCATCGACTGACCCCAGGCCTCCATCCCGGTTCTGCACTCTTTACTTTCCATGCCGCTCTGTGATTAATGATCTAATGTGGAGGGACCGCTGGAGGAAGACACAGAATGAGAACTTTGGTCCATGGCTCACTGAGCATCAGAGCTGAGTAGCGCTGTGCTGGAAGCTGCTGCCTTGTTTCGAATCATGGTTTCCATTTTCATTTCCCTGTTGGCTTTGATAAATCGGGGGTGAATAATCAAGTTTTTGAATTAAGACCTGAGCTGATTAGGTCCGCAGAGACAGCCATTTAGGACAAGCATGCTAGAGAATTGAGGGTCAGAACAACACGTTCTTACTCCCAGCTTGTCAAATATGGTCGCTTGGTCAATGGCCCTCTGCTTTAAAATATGATGCTGTAGGTGCCTCTCTCACATTATTTCTGGATGCGCAGGGCTGTGTGGTGATGTTGTCGATAATTAATATGTAATGTGTTCAACTTTCAGTCAAGTTAGCAATAATACACTTGCAAATCCAGTTAGACTTTCAAAATAAAACTTGCATAGATAAAGTTGTGAAAAGGTCGTAGTTTGGTTAGGTACAAAAACTACTTTCTTAGGTTTAGGAAATGTTCATAGGTTCCATTATGTACCTGACATACTTTAGGTGGGTTAACTAAGGTACATTACTTTAAAGAAATTGTTTACTTTTGTTTCACACAGGACATCAACAATGGTTTCCTGACTTAAAGTTCTATGTTTGTTTGAGCCATCCATCCATCCACCCCACCACATCCACATACAGGCTATGTATGACTCGCTATTTATATACTACATCACTTGACATCGATGACAGGCACATCCAGAAATTACACTAGAGGGATACAGTGTCATATTTTGAAGCGGAGG